CGAGATGTCCAATTTCTACTCAGATTCACTGATGTTCTAAATATAGCAATCCACTGTCACTAGATGTCTAATTTCTACTCAGATTCACTGATGTTCTAATGTGAAGAGTAGGAAGATGCCCACAGATTGAAGTATATATGGTTTGCATACATAATGGGACCATCATTTTAAGGTGTGGGGTTATTGAATAATTGTACACATAATGCCTGTTCTATGCTTGGCTGCTTGAATAATTATGGAGATTGATAATTAGGCTGATGTGGATGTTGAGACAATTCAAATGCCTTTTTTACTATCCACATCTTAGAAACGTCATTCATTTTTACACATCAAAAAAAAAACTTTCATGAATGTACATTCAAGCTCAACAAAATGAAAATTTGCTTCTTTGTAACTTTTTATGCCCTGCTCTAAGTATATATCTAACTTCCTCCACTTGAAACTTGTACATACAAGTACAGTTTCATCATATAACCAGGGGTGTTGATGGTGATGAATATTGGATGGAATCGAGCTGTGTTTGGGTTTCGGCATCACCTCTTACTTTAACGGAATTGATTCCTTTATGGTTACATTTGTTTACTGACTGAGTCTAAATGATACACCGCACAAGAATGGTTAAATGTTCTCTTCTCTTTTTCAACAATTCTGCTCTCTTCTCTGCATTACCTAAACTATTTCGGTAAGCTATTTCAAAATGGTTTTACGGTTATGGGGTTAAAGGCCCAGGTATACTATAAATACGCTTCTAAACAATAGGAATTATTTCCTTGCTTGTCACGCTGTAGTAAACAGCTCCAGCCAAGCTCCGGTAAAGACATGTTTTCAAACTTACTGGTCGATTATGTTGTGCCAAAGTGGATGCATGTGACTATGAATACCACAGCAGTGACTGTGTGTAGTATTTATGACAATAAATAGTGTACGAGCTAAGATTTTGGCGAATAAAAGTCAAAAACATGAACCGTGATGCAAGTGATTAACAACACTCATTAGCATAGCCATACCTCCAATTCACACTTGCCCAAGGCAAGTGAATTGGGCCTTTAAGAGAGAATGATAGACAGTAGTTAGATTAAAATCAGATCTTATTTGGCTTTCCTAAATACTTTTTAGGAATACTATTTTTTTTTCTATTTATATGTACATGTATTTTTAAAATGACTGGGCTTTTTCTATAAAAACATGAAAAAAAAAATAATAATAATACTACCGGTAAAGTACTTTATCAGTGGAAATAAAATCCAGTGAAAATGCTTGTTTTCCTTTGTTTTCCATTCAACTCACCAAAATTCAGTGTAAATAAATGGCATACAAAACAGCCTAAATGTCATTTTAGCAAAAGTGAATTCAAGCTAATATAAATTATTTTACACTACTTAAATAATAACAGAATAATAATAATAATAATAATAATAATAATAATAATAATAATAATAATAATAATAAAAAAAAGAAAATCCTCAAAAGATCTGATTCCAATCAAATTGGATGGAGAAGAAATAAGATATATATTGTTCATAGAAATGAAATCAGCTGTTTGTGAGAGTAAGAATTCTGGGTAATATACTCGTATATTTCACTGATATCTCAAAAATCTTGCATCACATTGGGGACACCATAGAGTGTGTTTATTTTATTTTTATTGGGTATTGTACACTGTAAAAATAGGTCAACAGCAAAAACATGCTCCCATTTACCTATTTATTCCAGCTAGATATGGCTGGTTTTTAAAAATTGACTTTTTGCTCTAAATTGCAGTTTATATTCTGTTTTTTTCTGGTTTTTACTGGAAAAAAGGGAACACTAGAAATAAACACACACTTCTGCATTGATTTTGCTCCCGGCTATCAATCTTGTTTGCGTTGCCAGTACGGTCCAACAGCTGTGAACAATACCTTGTCTGGTAGTAGTAATCAGCAGGTTTTATAGTTTATTAGTTCATTGAAAAAACCTGTACATGCGTCTTAGAAATTCTACCATATCACTCATTGGGATCTATCCCGTCTGAATCGTAATGAAACCGAAATCTTGTAAGTGCAAGTGCGATTATGATAAGTCACGCTCCAGGCTCCATTTTCCAAAAAAAGGAATGAATACTGAAAACTGCGTTAATTTTGAGCGAGACATATTTAAACAAATTGTGAAATTTCTTGCAGTGAAGATTTCTCTATGGTAATAAGATTGTCTGCAACTTTCACAAAATTTTGTCTTCCTAAATCATATGTAAATGCCATAAAATTAACAAATTCCTACATGCGACAGTTAGGGAATTTTACAGTATTACATTGCCTAATATTAGAAATAGTTTTAATTACTGTAAAAGTATTAATTATTCGCTGGGTTTTAATTTTGCTTATTTCACTGACTGGAAAATGCGCTAAATTAAAATCCAGTGAATATGTAAAATTTAGCATAGAACACATTATCTAAATGATAAAACTGTGAATTTAAAACCCACT